TGTCATAGCAGTCAGCTATGACAATATAGATTTGATTTATATATAGACAATTAAGGTTTTAAAAGTGCTATTGCTACGGGCGTAAATATGAACAAAATTTTCAGCACTTTATTTAGAATTAAAAATATACCAACTTATAGTCTCAATTTAGTTAACAATTAAAACATCTTTAACGAGTATAAATTTTGCATAAAGTTATGCAAAAATAAAAATTATTTTTCTTTGCTTTAACAGTTAAATGCTGGGACCTTAAGCAATATGCATAGTATTACGATTTTCTTAAAGAACAATTACAATTTTCAATAAGAAAAATATTTTTATCATATTTTAGACTGTCACTTTATTTTTTTTTTTTTGCATGTTAATGTAAACGCAATAGTTTGAAAATTATACAATAATTTTCAAAACGCTATACTCTAGCTAGAAATATTTGATGACTACCATTTTTCATCAAAAATATATTGAATATGAGTTGTAGAAATATAATATTTCACTTGAAATTCTCACAAGCAATTATATTTTAATAAAAATAACTACATGAAATGAACAAATTTGCAACTTCGTGCGTGACCAAACATCAACTACATTTAAAAAATTGCTGTGACCCAACGATACATAGTGCAATCCGGTAACTTTCTGGAAATTTTTACAATTATCTAAAATATATTTTTTTAAATATACTGTAAAAATAAGTATACTGCTAAAACTTGTATTTTCCGAGGATTTTAAGTTTATTTATGGAGTAACTAAAATTTTCGTGATTCCGCTTCAAGCTTAATTTATTCTTTGATAACATTACTTATGTATACCATTTTTTGTTTTCAAATTATTTATATAGATTAGAATTAAATGAGAAAAAAATTAGAGATTGCCAGCTTTGTTTTTATGATATTATTTGACAAATTATATACGAGAGTCTGTACGTGATTTTTTGAAAAAGTCTACATATATTTGATATTTGCTTACACTTTTTTACACACTCGTTCTTATACTAAAAGTGCTACAACTTTTTCTTGCTATTAATTCAGGTTTAATGGCTGCCGTGAGTTCTGTGCAAAAACATGCGAATGAATAACGGCCGCAATAGCAATAAATTTAGTATTAAAATATTATAGGATAGGATTAATTATTAACAAATCGGGACTATGCCTACCAAAATAATAGTTATTTTGGTAACAATATCATAGCAACAAATATATAAACAAAATTTTTGTAAAAAGTTTGCGAAGCTACTTTTGAAATAATTATGCAAAAGGACTGAAGTTTTAGCGGTTAACACTAAAACGATTTTGTGATTACTTTTGATAAAAAATGATAAATGTTGTTTTAAATCGCAGATTTTTTTCAATTTATAGGATTTATGGCAAACAGTTTCTTCTAAGAATGTAACGTTTTAGCATTGCGGAAAAATTAAACTAAAAAGCAACCTAAAGAACTTTACCTGTAGGGAGGTCTTAACTCTAGAATAAATGTTATTATTACTTTACGTATTTATTTATCACTTTATGATGTTGCTATTACTTCGTATATGCTTCCGCAAGAAAGCTCAAGTTGGATTAACAAGAGTCCAAATGTCCAAGGAAATTGACATTTCCATGATTCCGAAAATCCAAGTGGGTAAGGGCTGCAAGAGAAGAGAAAAAATACGAGAAGAGAGTTGCCGCATTTGCTTACTGTAATTACGCAGGAATGCGCATAAAGCCTAAATGGCTGGTTTGGAACTCTAATACAACTACTTTTACTTGCTAGCCTTGCAAAAAGCTATCTATACATCATACCGCCCAATTTTTTTGGGCTGCCAAATAGTCACTGATGGGTAGTACAATCTAATTTCAGAGAAGCATAAAATAATGGTTTTAGTTAAAGAAAATTATCCTGAGGTTAAATCAAGCACAAAGCATTAAAATGCATTTCATACAACTCTAGTTGTCATGCATACCGTAAGTTAACAGATGAAATCAGTTTTAAAATTGATACACCCACATCTAAAAAGTTAATTCTTCATCCTTCAGGACTTCTACATCTACACCTTTTCAAGATGTAAATGAGAACATGAAAGTTGTAATTAAGAAGTCGTAATATGTAATTAAGAAACACAACATGTAATTGAGAAAACGTTATATGTAATTGAGAAACACAACATGTAAATAAGAAGTCGTAACATGTAATTAAGAAACACAACATGTAATTGAGAAAACGTAAGATATAAATGAGAAATCATAATATGTAATTAAGAAATCGTAACTTGTAATTAAGAACACATAAATTAAAATAGCAAATTCACAGTCTAAGTTTGTAGGTTGTTACAAAAGGTCTTTTTGGACATGAATTTAAGTTATAATCTTAAATTTTGCTTTTATATGCACAAGTAATAATAATGGAATTGAAAGATCGTTGTGTTATATGCCAATACACTATGACCCGAAAGTCTGTGATTAAGCTAAATCCGTGTCAATATTTATGTCACCAAATTTGTTTACGTCCAGTTCTGGAACAACCAGATTCAAGTTGTCCGATTTGTCGGCATGAAATACACACAACTGAACAAGTTGAAAGGAAACGTTGCGTTTTATCTTCTCCAAATGACAGGAGAAGAGATGTTGAATGTGCGGAGCGATTTGAAGATTGGGTGAATCTCGCGCAAACGCTAGGTATCAAATATAAGACAGCATACAATTGGGTTCGCAGCGGAAATTCATATTTGATTGGAAAAGGAGGTTTTAAACCGTAAAAGTTGACCGAATATCAAATCGAAGAAAAATTAACATGGATTGAAAATGATTGTCAATTAACATTGGTGGCCATCAAAACAAAGATATTAAGACAATCTAACATAAACGTTAGCACAACAACAATAGCAAATTACCTCGAAGGCAGATTGTTCTCATTAAAAAAAGTGCACAAGGAGCCTTCTACAATGAACAGTTATGAAAACAAACAAAAAAGAGCTGAATATGTTAGAAACATCAACGAACATATCACAAATGGTCGTCAGATAGTTTGGTTGGATGAAACAAATTTTAACCTTTTTTGTAGAAAAACGCAAGGACGCGCGAGACAAGGAAAAAGAGCAATTATGAAAGTACCTGCTTCAAAAGGTTTAAACATACACTTGATCGCAGCTATTTCAACTACAAATGTCGTCATGATAGAAACTCGCAGGGGATCATTCAAAGCAGGTTCCTGTAACGAGTGGATGTTGGCTATGTTTCACTAGTGGGTTACATCCGGGAATCGTTTGGAGGATTTGGTCGTCGTAACAGATAATGCTCCTTGTCACGCTCGTTTGCAAAGGGTGTTTGATAATTCACCAGCTCAGTTGTTACGTTTGGGACCTTACAGTCCAATGTTGAACCCGGTGGAAACGATCTGGTCCAAAATTAAAAGTAACGTTAAAAATGCAATTCGCATTCCACCTGTATTAGGTGACGGGATTGCGGAACAGCGCATGCAGTACTTAGAACGAATTGTAATTGAGGCGAAAAATACTATAATGGGAGGAGATTGTGCACGTGCGGTACAACACACAACCACGCACTATGCAACTATTTTAAATATGGAAGACGTACAAGTTGGTGCTTAAATGATCAATGAAGTGATTTTTAATTATATAATTTTTAATTATAATTTTTAATTGAATTATAAATTTTTCCCTAAAATGTTTTAAGTGTTTATTATGTTAAATTCATTTGCCCAAAAATTATAAATTTTTCCCTAAATTTTTCCCTAAAAAATAAATTTACGCTACAAATCTTGCGTCATTTTTAAATGCGTCATTTTATACGCTCCATTTTTTTTACGCGTCATTTTTTTTTAAGCGCCATTTTACACTTACTCCTTTAAAGCGATATCTAAATTAAAATTTTCGTGTTCTCAATTACATCTTTCTATTTCTTAATTACAACTTACATTTTCTCAATTACATGTTACGATTCTTAATTACAATTTTCGTTTTCTAAATTACATCTTAAGTTTCTTAATTACAACTTACGTTTTCTCAATTACATCTTATGTTTCTTAATTACAACTTTTGTTTTCTCAATTACATCTTACGATTCTTAATTACAATTTTTGTTTTCTCAATTACATCTTGAAAAGGTGTAGTAGAAAATCTATATAAGACTTCCTCTTCATAAAATGTATTAAAATAAATTAAATTTTGTAGTTTCTTTGTATTGATAAACGATATAAACACCTGTTCTTAATTTTTTTTTTAATTAGTTACTTGGATATTTTGTAACTTTTTTTATTAATCGCGAGAATCTGATAATATGTTAATAGTCAACTTACGTCATTTTCTAGGCTTTTATATTTTAAAGTAGTTTCTAGGCTTTTCTATGCGCGTTTTTTTTTTTAACTTTATTTACTAACAACCCGTATTACGGGGCTAGTTTTAATAATAATACTGAACTTAATAGTGTTTTTTCGAGCCTTTTTGACACGGAACCCTTGGCAGCCATTGCAACCAAGATAGTGGCAAGAAAGAGTCGCAGCAGTTTGTTTTGTAAAAAACGTGAACGAATGTGTATGCAAATATCTAATGTATGTAAACTTTAAATTAAGTAATGTTAAAGCATATGTTAAAACTTACTGAAACATTTATCAAGTTTTACACTTTAATTTTCACTGCGTCAAGGTCTCCTTAATTTTAATCTGTAACATTTTTTTCCATTAAAAAAAATCATTATATAGTTCTAAAAATCTTCGTTTAACAATGTGCCAGTATGACCAAGTGGATAGCGTGCCGAGCTTCTGAGCAAGTAAGCTGTGATTCAATTCCTATCACTGGTGACTTTTTTTTAAATTTATTTCGATTATTTTAAAATACAAAATACTTTTGCAGTTTTATAGAGATTATGTAAAAACATATGTAACGATATTATACACTTTTGTAAGAATGTGCTCCGAAATGGAGATCTTAATTAAAACTATATTTACGTTATTGTAACTTTATGAAGGCATTATATAGAAAATAAGCGATAAGAAATGTTGTAGTTTATCATTAAATTGGCAACGAAGATAAAAGAAAAGAAATTAAAAAAAAAAAATTAAAGAAGATTTTAGTAAAAAGCGTATTTATCCATGGCTATAAAAAACCTTAATTTACCAAACTTTCCACCGTTTTCATGTACTGAAGAAGCAAGTAAGTTATTTTCAAGCTGGAAACGATACATTAAACGATTTGAGCTAGTTTGTGATTCACTTGTAATTACAGACGATAAACAAACGTTACTTCTAACTTTAATTTAAATCGTTACTTCTAACTTTAATTGGAGATAACACTTACGAAATTTATGAAAACACTATACCTGAAGATACTCTAATCACATACCAACAAGCTGTCGAAGCTTTTAACGAGCATTTCAAGCCCCAAGTAAACCTGAGCTATGAAATCTTTATTTTTCGCAAGATGGCTCAACGTATAGACAAAACCACTCAGCAGTTTTTCGTTCGATTAAACGAACAAGCTATCAAGTGCGAGTTTGCTGGTAAGGATAAAGAAATTAAACAACAAATTGAGCTTTGCACAAATATTTCAAAACTACGGAAATACAGTTTTCAAAATCCTAACAAAACTCTACAGGACTTGTTAACTACTGCCAAAACATTTGAGCTGATGAACCATCAAATAGAAGAACTTGATAAAACAAAAAGAAGTAAATACAGTAAATAAAACAAAATTTCCACAAACCAGTCAAGCGCCACATGAGACAGAAACTCGCTAAAAAGAACTTGCTACCGATGTGGAAACAAATTTCCACACACGAATATATGTTTAGCTTTGGGGAAATCTTGCCACTCCTGCGGGAAAATCGGACATTTTGCAACAGTCTGTAAAACTAGAAAATAAAACAAACAGAATACAAGAATACATCAAGAGAAATACAAAAGAAATGAACAAGGTTATACAAAACCATTAAATACAATTTACAAAGATATCAATGAATCCGAAAATCCTCAGTCAAAGTTGAACGAAGGAGAGTTGTTCTCTGTCAATGCTAAACAGATATCTAACGACGGACTTGAGAACTTCGATGTAACGATTAACATAGAAAATATACCAATAAACGTTCTAATAGACACCGGAGCTTCAATAAACATTCTAAACTTTAAAACATTTGAAAAGATAAGCAACTCCCTTAAAAAACCAATTCGACTACAAAAATCTAAAACACAGTTAATTACTTACGGGGATAACTTCAAAATAGAGGAGTGGTTAAATCCTGATATGCGGATGACAAAAGTAATAATTGAAAACAATGTTTGAGTATACACCGCGTATATCTTTCTAAATGGATAATTTACGGTTGTTTACAAACACGTTTTAACTAGGGTTGTTAACCGGAGGATTTCGTGCAATTTCGGAAAAACAACATTCTTTCGTAAGGAGATTGAGAACGCAGAATTACATTTTTTCGTACCGAATGTTACAAAACATTTAAAATCGCCGATGTTCATTTCGCAAAAGCCACTTCCGAAATTTAGCATTTCGCAAGTTGACATACGAAACAAAACTATTTTGCAACATACGAAACTAGCGGTTTCGGAAGTCGCACTTGCGAAACAAACATTTTCGCCAAACGACGTTTTGAAGTCTATAAAGAAAATTTGTTTGCCAGACTGATTTTAATTGTAAAAATTAACATCTTTAATCCCAAAATGTTTATAATGAATTTTTATTTTCAGTATAATAACTATTAAGTTTTTATGGTTTTATTTTTAGAAATATTGATAAAAAATAAAATTTCTTTCAAAACGAAAGTATTTCGGATCACAACATACGAAAGAATTCTTAACGGAAATAAACTTACGAAACGTGCCATAATAAATATATACAACGATGCTTTTTGAACTCATTACGTATATTAAAAATAAGAATGATGGATTTTAAAGGTATGTAGAGTCCTGTTTGAATACGCTTTTTGTAGTATAGATCTTAGAAAATATTGTTTTTTAATTTTAATAAAATATAAATTTAAGTATAAGATCGTATAGTTCAATAAGTTAGATACGTGATAATTCACCGCAGGGATCCGGGTTCGCACCCCGCAGCCATTGTAACTTTTGTTTATCAAACTCTTTTTACTTAAGATTGCATTTTTTGACCTCCATGTTCTATATTACAGATCTTTCGTCAAATTTATAATAGTGACAATCTCTCTTCTGTAAGTTATTCTTTTAAGATTGAGTTCATTGTGCTTAATTCTACACGTTTCCCTTGCTTTACTAAGTTCTACCTAAATTATGATGAAATGTACGTAAAACAACTTTTTCAAATAATATAAATCATTTTGCTTTAAATCTTGTGCATTTTGTACTAGACATCTGTCCTAAATACTTTGTAATAATTTCTCGCTAACTCTGAGTCTAATATAACTATTTCTGAATATAATTTCCCTGAGGCTCCTACAGCCTATTGTGTTCCATTAACTAGTTTTTGAGTCCAGATATTAATTATAAGCATCTAAAGGTTCACATTACTATTCATTTTCCTGATATATAGAGAGATCTCTTTAGAGAGATCTCTCGTTCTTTATAATAAAGTATTTAATTGTTTATCACACATCCTCTTTATACTTTTTAAAAAGAAAGGCATACTGTTTATCTGTTCATTGAGAGTCCAACTTAACGGGATTTTACTGTATATATTTATATATATATATATATATATATATATATATATATATATATATATATATATATATCTATATATATATATATATATATATATATATATATATATATATATATATATAAATATATACATATATATACAGTAAAATCCCGTTAATGTATATATATATATATATATATATATATATATATATATATATATATATATATATATATATATATATATATATATATATATATATATATATAAATATATATAAATATATATATATATGTATATATATATATATATATATATATATATATATATATATATATATATATATATATATATATATATATATATATATATATATATTAGGTATACTTGTATAAACATTTGAAGAATCATTTGACAACATTTTTTTATAATTTTATTATTTATTATTTAAACTGTTAACAGTTAATATCTTAAATATGTCGTAACATAAAATCTTTTGCGTCTTTTTCGTAACTACACATTCCGGAATGCTTTTCCCGTAAGGAACTATTTCGTAAGTATTCTTACGAAATGATTTGTTTCGCAAGTTTTCTTTCGCAATGCTTTATTACGGAATTTTATTTACTATTTATATTTTCGTTTAGCGCGTTACGGAATGTGCATTTTTGCATGTGCAACTTCCGCAATAACAATTCTATTACGGTAGATAAAGATGCGAAATTTTTGCAAGTTTTGTTTTTCGGCGAACAACCCTAGTTTTAACGCTATTTAAAAACTTTTTAAGTTCTTGAAGTTCTTTGAATTATTATTTTTCTCTATAAAATTATCATATTATTTTTACAAAGTTTTTTTGTGATAGTTCATCTCAAAGTCAGGTAAGTTTTTTCAAATTTTTTTAACATATTTTTTCTTCCGTTTTTATCAAAATGTATTTCAAAGAAGTTTTTTCGTTAAGGGGTGAAAAATCCAGCTATATTTACACCAAAGATAACTTTGAATCTCGTATTGCACAATAAATTAATGATACTTGAATAGTTACTTATAGTAATGCACTTTTTTTTATTTGTACTTACTTTTAAATATATAAAAGTGTACAAAAGTGTTGCATGCCCATTAGATCATCTACTTTTCAACTTTCATTAAAAAAAGTCAGCCCTTAGGATTTTTTTGCCATTAGGTATATACATTAAAATTAAATGAGGTTCTTTTTGCTGTTAAAATTTTTTAAAACTAACATATTAGTGAGGACTGGGAAAGTTAATTTTATCTTTTTAACTGCCCTCTCAACTGTTTTTGTATGAACAGGGAAATATAGAACTACCATAGGACAATCCAGGATTATTTTTAACTCATTAATGTTAATTTGACAGGTTAAGATGAGTTCATAGGCCTCTTCCCATGTTATTAACTTAGTCAATTTGGTTCCATACAGGTTTAAATGAGGAAACTTATATATTCTAAGAGCTAGAGTTTCCGTACACAAAAAACTCTTTTACCCTGACAAAAATTTAATCAAGTAAAAATAATATTTTACATGTTTTAATAAATGTAGTCTTACTCTATATTAATCTGCTTTTACATTATGATATTTCTTAAAACTTCTAGTTTAAAAAAGAGTAAAAGTCACCGACTTAAAATAGTGCCCAAAAATACACTAACTTGAGTAATAATAAAAATTTGTAATAAACTATATCAAGTACTATAAAAACATCTATCCTTTTTTTGAATATGGGAAGAAGAACTAAACAACCTCAAATATGAAAATGTCTTTATATCTCATGTATTTATCATGACATTTATCATTAGATGACATTTATCCGCCTGTAGATATCCTGTAAACAAAGTACGAAAAAAAACAACCATTCTTTAATGAAAAGCTTGGTCAGCTGTTAAGAAACAGTAAATAATTTATTATTTATTAACATTTTAAGTTCAATAATTTGGTATGCAAAATATTATGGATTGATGTCACGCTTTGGTTCCTGGTGTTTTTCCATATATTGTTCTAATTTTTTTCTTTACGTCCATTTTTTTTACAGTTTTGTTGCATGTTGATTATTTAATCTGAAATATACAACATTTTACAAAACATTGTAAAAATAATAAAGTAATTTTACAGAGAAAAATAATAATTCAAAGAACTTCAAGAACTAAAAAAAATTTTAAATAGCGTTTAAACGTGTTTGTAAACAACCGTTAATTATCCATTTAGAACGATATACGCGGTGTATACTCAAACATTGTTTTCAATTATTACTTTTTTCATTCGCATATCAGGATTTAACCGCTCCTCAAAATAGAAGGACATATCAATGTCGTGATAGAAAGTCAAACCAAGTTTCGTCAGTCCACATTCCACGTGGTTAATACACACCACAAAAATCTGTTTAATACAACTAAATACTGACGTCAATAAGAAACTTTTAAAGAGAACAAAATAACCATTACGACAGTGAACAACAAATTTGCCATACTATGCAGAACTTAAGCAAATTAAACAATACTCTCCTTTTAAACGCTCCAAAACAATTAGAACCACCTTTAAACTCATAGAAAAATTCTGTTTTTAGCGGTAAAATAGGAAAACTCTCCAACTACCAAGTAAAATTGAAAATTAATGAAAGCATACTACCAGTCGCACAAAGAGAAAGAAGAATTCCTTTTGCATTTAAAGAAAAGGTTAAAGTTGAACTTGCAAAACTTGAAACAGAAGGAATAATTGAAACGGTAACAGACGAAGCGACACCCTGGGTAAGTCCAATGATAATTGTGCCAAAAAATGACGGCAACCTAAGAATTTGCGTAGGCATGCGAGCAGCTAACAAAGCTATTGGAAGAACGCGCTTTCCAACTCCAACCCTGGACGATGTTTTTATAAAACTAAAAGACTCCGCCGTCTTGAAACGGAGATTTAATGAAGGAATTAAATGCCTTTATTAAATCTCCGTTTCGTTTTCTCGAAACTAGATTTAATGAAGGCATTTCACCAGCTCGAGCTTGCACCGGAATCCAGATCAATAACTACTTTTCAATCCGAAACTCAAATTAAACGTTTTAAAAGACTTAATTTTGGAGTAAACTCCGCGCAGGAGGAACTACAAAACGCTTTACGAGAAGTTTTAAAAGATATAGAAGGTACTTTGAACATTGCCGACGATGTTCTAATTTTCGCTTCGAATACAAAAGAGCACGATTTAATATTACATAAAGTATTAGAAAGATTTAAATAGAGAGGTTTAACTCTAAATTTTGAAAAATGCTTATTTGGAAAAGAAAAAGTCAAATTTTATGGATTTATATTTTCAAAAGAAGGAATGCAACCAGATCCGGAAAAACTTTATAATATCAAGAACATGCCAACACCAGAAAACACAAACGCTCTCCAAAGTTGTCTCGGGCTTATGAACTATTTTAAACGTTTCATTCTACACTACAGTACAATTACTTATTGATTGAGAAACCTTCTGCATAAAGATTCCTTATGGAACTGGAACCTTGGGTGTCAGCATGCATTTGACAAACTAATGAAGGTTGTCAAATGCGTGCTAGGATCGAAGTACCCGACACATGATTCCAATGTCAAAGCATGAAAATGCTATGACATTGGACTCATGTGTCGCGTACTTCGATCCCAACAAAGAGACTACTGTCTTCACCGATGCAAGTCTTGTAGGCATATCGGCAGTCATTGTCCAAAACACTCAAAATAAACAAGATTTTAAACTAATATTTTATAATTCGAAAGCGCTATCGCCTGTACAACAACGCTACTCTACGCTCGAAAGAGAATGTTAAGCTATAGTATACGCCTGCGAGCATAACAAAACAT